GTAGTGGTAATGAAACAGCTGGAAGAGGAGCCATCCTTCTTCATACACACATTTCACAACAGTACTGTCTTCGGGTGGAAGAAGATACTTTTGGTAGATAGTTGGAAATATTTCTGCTCCTATCAGCGAGCAGCACTGATAAAGATACAGTACAGGTAAATAAATCTGAAATGAAGGGGCAGAACCTTTAGCATGCACTTATCTGTGTGTGTTTATATAGTTTATGCCTGCTCTCTCACAGCACTTGTGTTCCTACAACCTTTAAGTGTGAAGAACACGAGCGTAATGATTTTAGTTTTCTTTCGCACCTCAGGTGGGTCAGTGTCGTCTCATCAGACGTCGTCACGTGCGATGCTTTTTCTTTGTATCCTTTGGGACTTTATGGGTTTGCATAATTTATGCGTTGGTTGAAACAGTCTGAAAACAAAAAAATATATAAAAACAATTTAGTGGATGGATCGAAATTTGGATGTCGTCATTCACTTTTTGAACCTGATTTTTGCTGGACAGCTAAAGCAGACTGAGATAAAAAAAAAAATAAAAAAAACTCTTTATTTTATGATTGCATCATGGTTTGATTGCAAATGTACTCGAAGTAATTTTCACAAACTGAGTAAAGGTCTTCCTGATGCGCATCAGGTTTTTTTTTTTAGTCAGCAGCTCATCCATGCATTAAGTGGTGCAGGAGTGTAACCTGATAAATGCACTTAAAACAGTGAAGATGGACAGTGAGAGGGCAAAAGCTCAGATGGCCTGATGTGTGCGCCTGCTAGGCACTTTGACAGCCTATTGATCAGTTCTGGGCAGGGTCAGAGGTGTGGGGATGCATGGCTCGGATACTGCCAGTGGGACAGGTACAGCACAGCAGTAACCAAGATCTATTAGGAAATAGATCTACTCTTGAGCCCATTACACCATCCTTTTGTTAAAGACCAGACATGTTGTTGACTGCTGGCATTCAGTTTCCTCTGCCAAGACGAGTGAATTCTCTTCTCCAATATAATACACAACAACAATATAGCAATCTGTCTGCCTTTTGAAATTGATGTGACGTAACGTTTCTGTCTGGGACATTGATAGCTCTATGGTTGTGAAAATGCCCTGCTCCTGTTATTGAATAGTAATAGGCTTGTCGGCCGATGCCTCCAATTTCACAAATGGAGCAATAAATACACATAACAGAATCAGTGGAACAATAAGAATGTCTATAAAGAACGTTTGTGCCTCAAAAAACAAGGAGCAGAGCGTGGGGGGAGCGGGGCGAAGGGAGCCAGACATGGGAGGTCAAAGCAGAATTTGACAAAAGGGATGAAAAGTGTGCGCATGTGAGAGCGATGCAGAGGCAGAAAGATGGTGGCCCACTCTTCATTTCTGTGCCACAAGCTCTCCTGGGCATTTACGTGCTCCGTTTTCAACGTAAGTGTAATTTGAGGCCTGGGTTGATACAAAGTGTATGCAGCAGCTCTGTTCAAACGCAATCATTCACCCTGACGTGTAATCCTTTCCCTCACCATCATCACGTTGCTTCGGGAATAATGAAAAACACTTAAGCAATACACAGCAGTCGTACGGCTGCGAGTGGGGGGGCCCACATCTTGATGAGATGTCGCGTAACTCTAATGAAAGGTGTTTTGACCTGCCAATGCAGGTAAATGATTGCCTCGCTACTGTATCTGTGAGGAACTTATTGATGCCTGTATCTGGTCCAGCTGTGCGGTTTGCATGAGGAACGAGGAGGACGTTGTTTTTAAAAGCAGAGCTTGGCATCTACATCCTTTTTGTCTGTCCCTCCATCCTCGTTTCATCTCCCCTTTTTCTCGTCTTACGGTGCTTTTGTTTCAACGTAGGATTATTACAATTAATTGGTTGGCAAGACATTATTTCAAAAAGGGAAATTGGCTCTCATAATTATATAGTGAGGGGAATACTTTAACTCCCTGGAATATCAGCTTCCTGAAATAATGGAGCTGTGCCACCCCCCACCCCCACCCCTTCCCATTTCCCTCCACCGCCATCAGTGTTAGCGTGTCTGTCTGCCTGTTTCCTGTGGCGGATCCATTTTCAACAGTCCCTGCAGCGGTCGTGGTTGATTGCTGGATGGTCGGGTAGCCTGGGCGAATCTCTGACGGGCTTGCCTCACTCACAGCCAAACAATCTCTGGTCTTCTGGGATCCCCGGATCTGCTCTCTGTCCCATCTTGCTTCTGCACTTTGTGTAGATGTTTGGCCACAACAGAATGGGTATTTATACCAGGCTGAGGTTAGGCTAGGAGTTGTCACACCGGATTAATAACTTAAGCAGAAATTAATTGCTGGTGGCATTATAAATACAATTAAAAAAACAAGTGAATCATTAGCATTCGGAGCCTCAGAGGTGCTATATGTTGAAAAGTTTAGTTTGAACACAAAACACAAAAGAATCACAGAGTTCAGTGAGTATTTAATTCATTGATTCCTTTACCCTTTTGAAAATCAAAACAGAAGTTACAGATATTGGTGATTCGACAATCAGATATCAATGTACACCATTGCCAAATGATATATTTCACACAATAAATACTCGTCGCACAGGAGCAGGAACTCAGTTACCCATCCCCGTCTGAAATTTGTCTTCAAGGGACCAATTCTGACACACTGATGCTCATACACACACAGTAACCAAAATGGGGATTGCATCCACTGATGGTCAGGTCGTATGGTCAGAGTGAAGCATGCTTTTACCTTCACGGACAGTTTGTTGTGGATGAGCAGGGTGAGAAGATCCAGAACTGCAGTTACAAATGTTTTGGCTAGAGCAATGGAGGAGATTTTTTTTTTCTTCTTTCAAATATTCATAAAAAACAAAGCGGCTCAGGTATTTCAAAGATGTGAGACTATTACAGAGCAGAAAGTTGAATCGGACAAAGACTGACGTTATGATAATGAGGTAGTAGTCAGCAGGTGCTGCGTACTTTTGTTTTCCAACTGCGACAGCCCGATGCAGACATATTTACAGAACACCTACGGACACAATTTGTAATGTAAGACATGTCTTTGTACTTATTACAGAAGGTAAAATGAAAATCAATCAAAATGTGTAAAAATCTTGCTTTATTTTTTTTAATTTGCACTGCTAATTTTTTCTGAAACACGACCAAATCAAACAAGATCGAGTCCCAAACAGAACAAAATGTTCTGGTATATAAAGTATTTGCTTCTTTCTCCCAAATTATGGTAAATGAAGTTACGTTAAAAGCACGACTGACTCAGAATTGGTCCCTGTTGTATTGCACAACAGTAAAATAAGTTAGTTTTACCCTCTACAGTGGAGCACGTTAACTGGACAGTGACTAGTTTAAGTTTAGGATGAAGGGAAGATAATGTCATCTTCCATTTGTGGCCAATCAGGTATGAACAGAAAGGCATGCGGGCCGTTTGAGCACTGCCTGCTTTGGATACAAGCACGGCTTCAACCTAGAGAATCATTTCCTCAGTTTTGTCTTACTGAGATGAAACCAAGGTTTGTTGCGTCATAAAATTCGACCGTAGTTTAAGCAGTTCCCTCCTCTTCCACGTGGAGAGCAGCGGACGGCATGCTTAGCTGAACACGGGGAGGACAGGGAGAGATCTTTCACCCACCGGAGATCACGCCTTGTAAAAACACACTGGCAGGTTGCCGTTTCCCTTTGAGGCTTGCTGACACTTTGCTTCTTGCATAGCTGTTCACATGTGCATGATTGGGTGCTCCGAGTTCTCATCACAGACGCTCGCTTGCCTCCTGACCAGCAGGGAGGGTGTTACTCTGCACGGGCCACTGTGTCAACACGAGGTCAAGAAGTGTTGTTCCGCGCGTCTACTGTACTCCCTGCAGGTAACAGTCTCCCGCTGTGTAAAAATTAACCCACCACGAAGTGCCGCTACTTGTGTTGCACCTGCCATTTACCTCCGTTTGGTTGAAGCCCTATAAAAGCAGGCACGGCTATTAAAAGATGGGAGGTGTCTGAAATGGTGAGAGCAGATGCTGGACACCTTGCGCCTTGTGTGGGATGACTCGGCCACAGGCTTAAAGGGGTCCAAAAATAGAGCCCGGCTGACACGTGGACCTCTGATTGAACACGGAATCTCATAGACTTCTGCCACTCGGCATAAATCCTTTGAAACTTCCAGACCCAATCTGCTGATTATCTTTCACCTAGGCTGAATCAGGTCATTTATTTGCATGTCGAGAGGCAATTTCCACAGGCTTAACCCTCGGCCAGATCTGGGGTTTAGTGCATGAGAACCACCAAAGCGGACCCCTGCAGTAGAGGAGAAATATGTGTCCCACGGATGTGACCGAGTTTGTCTTTAAGCAACAGCAGCATTGTAAAAGCACATGAATGATAGGGACTTAGCCTGACTTTCCAACAGCTTTCTTTATTGCTGAGTTACTACATGAGGATTGACTATTTTTACCTGTCTATTGGTTAAACGTGTGACCAGAAAATCTTCCAGTCTGAGACAAATATACAAAAATCCCACTGCTCTGGAGAGGTATATCCAAGGACATTTAAACTGATAAGAGTTCACATTTAGGTAACGACTTTCCTCGTTTCAGCTCGATTTTTTTCCCTTTGTTTGCAGGAGAACAAGAAAACATGGCCGCCAGGTTTGCCAGACTTTGAACTGTACACTCAACCTTCCAAATAATAAATATTTACATGTCGTAGTTGAGTTCAGGCAAAATAACCCTAAAAACACCACCACCACAAGAGTGAGACAAGTGAGTCTGTGGAAGGTTGTTGACACCTTTTCTTTCTTATGAACATGATTTAGGATCTTTTCGCTTTCTGGAAAAACAAAAATCTTCATCTTGTTATCAAGATGTACTTCTTCTGAAGATGCTGAAGAGCAGAAGGGTCCTTCATACAAAGCATGACCACTGACAATTACCAAAAAAAATTACTGTACATATTATTTCTTATATATTTTAAATTAATCTGAATCATTTTAATATTTATACTAATAACCAAGTTTTCCACTTGTTTTTTTATTTTATTATTATTCTGTGTCCCAGGATTCCAGGATGAGGAGGAGCAGGAGATGCCAGTCTCTGTCCTGCTCTCTTAATCTGGGTCTCCCCTTCCCAAGAACCAAGTTCAAGTCCACCACGGCCGATCAGCTGCCCCTCAACCTCCGATCAGACCTTGGCCTCCAGCATCTCCAGGAACAGTTTGTGCATGGGCACCTTGCCCTGCACCTTGATGCTGTAAAAGTGCTGCACAGCCTTAGTGGCCGTCTGCCTCAGCAGGGGCAGCGTCATGAGCAGTTTGCCAGCCCGTCGCGGGTCCTCCTGATGCTGGCTGCTCTCGAAGTCCTGCAGGGCCTCGTGGAGCGCATCCTGCAGCTTTTGGACCGCCTCCATGTCCTCTATGTGCATGGAGTCTGTCAGGACGAGAGAAAGCAAAGAAGCATGATGGATTTTCCAAATAAAAGAAACAAGAGGACTTGAGAGAAATTTAGTTAGCACTTATCTACAGTGATAATATAACAGTAGACATTGAGAAATGGATTTTTCAACAATAAAATTAAATCTCATGATCTTTTTTGCTCCCGTCAGTAGAAGCGGGGTACAGAAGAAAATTATCAGTATAACTCACATCCTGACAAGACAATAAAAATACATCATAAAACAAGAAAAAGAAGGAACATCTTCCTTATTTTTTATATAATTACTCTGTGGTGGGTGGGGTGAAGTGTTCATACGGCTGCTCACCACTGGAACTGAAAGTCATCGTTGACTTTTAGTAAACAATGTAATGAATTTCACCTGTGAGACCATCTGACAGTGCACTGTTCCAAAAGACAGAATGGTGTCCAAAAAAAGCAACTTCATTACAGGAAGTGGACACAACGAAAGCACTTGAGGGGAATTTAAAAATTTAGAGGGTGTTTTCAAGGCAAGTAGATGTTTTCTGCACCATAAAAATGGATTCAAATGCAACTGAAAATAGGGATGCACGATATTGGATTTTTGGCCGATATCCGATAGGTTAAAACTTATCTGGCTGATAACCGATACCAATATTTTTTATATACTTTCCTTTGTCAGAACATATTCCTCTTATTTAGGCTTATTTGCCACAAAATTTGTGTAACAGCTGTAAGAGCTGGTGACATATATTCAGTAACAGCCATATGCATAGTACATTAACTTATATTAAATGAAAAGTGTTAAATGTTATTTATTAGCATTAGTCACCTGCGATGCTGTCTCACTTGTGGAGGCTTGTTCCAGGTTCCTAGCTGCAGTGTGGGATCCTCTGCACTTTTGTGCATGAAGGACAGACTTTAAGTTCAAAGTTTTTGTCTATCCATTGTGCCGTAAGACTAATCATGCTAACGGGGCTAACACAATGTCCAAATGTCTGTGGTAAAACTCACCCATGTGCTATCGGCTATTAGCTTCTCAATGACGTCGGAAATGAAGGCTCGTAACTCGGGTAAGGTTACATCGGAAAAATATCTCGTACTGGGGACGATGTAGCGAGGCTCAACGTAGTCCAAAAATCTTTGGAATATGACATCCTCAACAACAAAATAAACTTCCACACTGCCGACAGTTTGACTTCTTCCTCTCCGCCGTGAGATCAGGTAGGCACGCGTGACGTCATCACGTTGTGCTGGCGCTGCAGGCATCCTTGTCACTGGGCTGTCGTACAAAAACAGCGTCTTTTATATCGGTGAGTTATTTTGATGGAATGGCCGATGTCTGATATTGAACTTTAACGATAATATCGTGCATCCCTAACTGAAATCAATAATTTTAAAGCGGTTTTCGGTTTCAGTCTGGCTTTCCTACCATGTTTCTCATTTTAACATAAGGCTACACAGTTTGTCTTTTTCTGATCCAGCTGTGCATGGTACCAGTCTCCTTTGCTTCTTTCTGCTTTCGTCTCCCAGCCCCGCTCAGGGACCGTCCTGGGTGGCACACTCTCTCACTGGTTAACTGGCATCTTGCGCTCCGGAGACAGCATGTCATTGGCCGCCTGACTCGTCTCACCTTGGCAGTGCATATTTCACCACATGGGACAATAAAAGGCAAAACAGATTTCAGGCTTCGCCCCAAATTCATTGACTGGAACAACTGTATTCCCAAGACCTTGAGACATTTCTCACCCTGACGGTTTTCAAATCCGCTGTGGTAAAATGAAGTAGGTCGTTTTGTAAAGTGAATGGGGGAAGTGCGGGGGGTGATGGGAGGGAGGGTGGAAGAACAAAAGCCCAAAAAAAAAAGAAAGTCACAGATGAGGATGTGGCATGACATAATTATCTCCTGTTATTTTCACAGGGGCTGCGCTCACACTTTTAACCAGTTTTCAAAATCTAATCCAATGTTTTGTTTTGTTTTTCACACTTTTTACACAGACACACGTTTCTGTGATGGCGCAGATCCAAACGGTGCTTTATTGGAATGTTTTACTGCAAAGAGGTAAAAAAAGAAAATAAAAAAGAGGAGAAAATAAAAAGAACGATGGAGACATCTCAACAGATCGGAATGAAAAGAGGGCAGCGCATGCTGCTTCCTTCAGTGGAGGAGGGGTAGACTTGAAAAAACAACAACTTTGAAGAAACAATTTCCTCGTAATCCATCACTGAGCCCACGTCGATCGAATTGATAAACTGCTAATTACAAAATCAATCGCTATGAATTTTCACAGCTGTCAGACAGAGGGGCTCCCAGGAGAGCGATCTCCCAGAGACCTTGTTCTAAGATTTCGGACACCCTCCTCCTCCTCCTCTCCTCGCTCTCCAGCTCTGTTCACCCCCACCATACCTGCCTCCCAAAAGCTCTGCTGTCTGAAAGCAAAGTCCCTACATCAGCATTTTCATTTTTCAGCGTCGGACAAAACGAGGGAAAGAGGCCCGGTGACCCAGGTGTGCATTGATCAGAGCGGGACAGGCCCTGCCTCCTCAAAAGGCACCTTGTCGATACAAACGTGTAGTCTCCGCATTGGAACAAACGAGGCCCATCACTCCTTGATATTCACTCCATTCGACTTAACACATTTTATTGACAGGCCTGCGCTCCTAATGAAATGCTAAATTTACCTCACATGGCTGCTGTGCCCTGCAGCGACTGTTATGGAGGAGGAGGAGGAGGGAGCACTGGAGAAATACCACAACATGGAAGGTGTGCAATTAAAAAAAAGGGGGGGAAAAATCCTCCTCCTTTCTGCTTTTATTTTATGCTGGCCTTATTTTCTCTTTTCTGCTCCATTTCACTTTCAAAACTAAAGGTAACACTAAGATGAGCTGAAAACATGAAGCAGTACAGCTTCCAGTTACTACACTGTTGAAAAGTAATGATTTACTTCAGTCTAATTTTTGCCTTGAGCATATTTTATTTTGGTTTTGATTCAGTAACTAAAAGCTAAAAAAGTTTCAATCTTTTTATGTGGTTTATGCACATAAGGACAAAATATATGTAATTTGAACAATCTTATGCCATTTAGTTGATTTCATTTAACACTGGGATTATTTTATACTTTGAAAACATAAAATCTGAAATTAAATCATCCCTATAATTAAAAAAACATTTTTCCAAAATTATTATGAAGCCAGATTATTTACAAAAATTAGCTATTTCTAGAATAAAGTTTTATAAATTAAATTATTATTAATCAAAAAGTGTTTTTCCAGGTATTTCATAATTTTACATTTACTCTTATTTATTAGTTGTGTCGGTGTGCTGGTGATATCCCACCTGAGTTGGCGAGAGCGATGGCTTTGAGGGTCACAAACTCCTCCTTCTCTACTTTGAGCTTCTTGTATTTGCGGACCAGCTGCAGGATGGAGACGTAGAGGTCGAGCAAGCCCGTCAGCCGCGAGTGCTCCTCGTCCATGATGTAGTCCTCCGCGTACACGAGCTCGTCTTCGTATGGCAGTGAGCGGAACACGATGCTGAGGATGAGGATTTCCATCCAGGCGCTCTGCAGTAGACTCATCTGGTCACCCAGAGACAGCGTAGAGAAACCTGGAGGAGGAAATGGAGAACTGTGTGAAGGCAGCATGATGGTGAAGATGGCATGAAAACATGTGGGCCACTGAGCATTTCATAGCGGATATTAAATCAGAACTGTGCGATTGCGGCTTTCGTCAGTAAAACAAACATTATTTGTCAAGCCGCAGTAGCTGAGAGCACACACTGATGCACATGTGGTTAATTTTAAATGCACGGTGGAAGGTCTTCTTTGAAGCTCGTGTCGGCGCACTTGAGTGGGCTTTACTGTAAGTGAGGACAGTAAATCAGTTCAAAGGTTTGGGATACACAAAGCCATGTGGTTACCCCTAGTATCCTAGCGCTCTTCTATTGGTGTTAGGGGGATTAGCACCGAGACACATTCTCATTGGAAGGGTTGAGGACATGACATGCACTGTGAAACAGAAGGAGGTGATGAGGGGAAGCAGACACAAACGTGTCAACCCAGAAAACAAACAAGACACGTGTGCACATCAGGCCCATGACATCTATATGTATGCACATAAATCCATACACATAAAAGTACACACACATCACTGGGGAGGTCACAAGGTTCAAGCCCAGCCGGGAGACCTGCTTAAACCCAGCACCTCATTCTGCAGCAGCTGGATGAGCTGAAATTGGCACGAGAACATCAAACCTCTATTTCCTCTCCAACACCTCTACATATGCTCAGAATAGAACATTAAATTAAACAAACTGCTATACCCCCCCCCCCCACACACACACACACACACAGATGAGCTCTGAGAAATTCAAACAAAATAAAGAGCGTTAAGCCACAAATACAGAGGAGAGAGAGTGGGGAGCAGCCAGATAGTCATCTCATTCCTTTTTCCTTTTCCTTTACCTTTTAGCTGTCAATAAACTGCACGAAGCCCCGCAAGCAGTCCCCACTCCATCCCCACCCCACGGCGTTCCCGCAGGAAGCTCATTCTGACAGTGAATTAGACTCCTCAGCTCCGCCCCTGATTAATATGATTGCTTTTTACAAGTTTGCTGGTGCCACACTAGCTGCCATTGTGTGATTAAAAGGCGATAGATTACATTATTGACCAGGGCACTCACTGCACCCACATCAAACGTTTTCTCTTGAATATAAATGATCTTACTAAGGGGCAGCCACAAGCCTGATGTTTATCTCCTGCCACGCACACACACACACGTCCATTCACATCCATACACACATGCAGCTGGAAAAGAACAAGAGACAAAACGCAAGATGCGTGAGCGAAAGTGGAAAAGAAACGGCGCAGAGGTAGAGGCAGACAGAGAAGAAAAAAGAGGAGCCAGGAAGAGAGGTACCTGAGTGTTCAATTTCCCTTATCGTGGTGATGACCACGGCAGGGGAAGAGCTGCAGGATACATTAATTAACAGATTGTGATCAGAAGTTGAGGGCCTTCACATTTTGAAGGGAAATCAATAGTAGGCAGAAAAGAGTGCTAAGTGAAAGGTGCTGGTGCCCAGGTAGACTGGTCAGGGCCTAAATTAGACCCAACAAAGCATACAGCCAAAAGCACTCAAAACACTTGACTATTATCAGTGAAGCCAATAAGCCATATTTTATAATGGCTTGCATACTTATCCAGGCAGAATCTTAAAATGCTTCGTTGTGTTATTTCCTTGTCTGCATACGTAGCCATTATGTTGGACAGAATACGGACTGGCCGGAGAGAAATTGCCATGCAAGCATGGACGTGGCGCTGATTGCCGCATCAGGTTGGCATCACAATCACAGGCGAGGCTTTGTGTAGCCTTTTAATGCCAAGGAGGACTGAAGCGGAACTAATGCGCTGCTCCCAGTATGACAGCTCACATGAAGGCCTTGTTCAGGGCTTGCTGAAGTGGCTTTGGAGTTGTGCTGATACAACAGACACCTCTCAGCCATATGCAAACTTGCATCCCAGCAGCCTGCAATTACCTTTGACGCTAAAAGTCCTTGAATTTAATCCAGTGTTGTGAGATGGAGAGGTAGTGTTTTTCCCTGCTCCATCTGCACTCTTCAAAGCCTAAATTATTGCTCCAAATGGGATCTTGTGTCGTTGCCTCGCCTTTTTCCACTCAATTTAATCGAGTAATGAAGTGACTTCCCGACTCCACAGGTCACGCGGTGCTCCGGCCGCCCGCGCTCTGAAGGTGGCCCGGTTAAGTGCCGTCGGAGTGGGTGATTTCCCCTAATGAAATATCAATATTTACATCTTCATTTCCAGCCCACTGCCTTCGTGGGGTTTGACCAAACATGACACAATATTGACCAAATCAGAGAAGCCTGTCTGTGCACTTGAAGGGCCTTTTCCACTCCACTGCTGAGTGCACCGGCTGTCTGAAATTTTCTGCAGCGAGAATGCAACGATAACGTTCCCTTTGACTTCAGCAGCTTGATAAAAAAAAAAATTAGATCACACATTTAGGGTTCCTCTCTTAAAATTCCCTGATTACATTTAAATAAACTTTATGAAAACTACTCCATTCTAAACTAGATAAAAAACAAACAAACACAGGTGACAAATATTCTACCCTATGTTAAAAGCAAGAGCACCAAAGACCAAGAACAGAAGAAGAAACCATCATCTCTCCAGTTATCTTCCCAAAAGCCCTCAGCTGTGAGCAGCCCGAGCCCACAGACGGCCGTTTCAAACCCCTTGCAAAGATTAATCAGAGCACCGTTTCATCTGCCAGAGCACAGGACGGTCCAAAATGAAATGCTAGAAATTTCTGTTGAGCTGGAGTTCATATTCTATTAATTTATTATTGTTTCTCTCTCCCCGAGGGCCATTAGCGCGAGTAATAAAAAGAGATGTAATTACGAGGCGCGGCGGTCCCCTCCAGCTGCAGCCCCCTCGTAACTCACCACCAATCAGACAACAGAGCAGACAAAGGGGGGGGGGGGGGGGGGGGCGGGAGGGGAGAGAGGTAAAGAAATGGGGGATAAAAGAGAGAAGATATGGGACGGAGAGGAGGGGGAGATAAAAAGAAAGGAAAGACCAAAAGCATGAGGGGAAAAAGAGCTGGGAGATAGAAAGAGGAAGGAGAGTAATTCTGGCTGGACATGGGCTGATCTATCATGGTCAGCTATCAGAAGGACAAGCAGGCCCTGAAGACGTCTGCCCAGCGGCAATCTCACCTCAGCCAAGTCAAGTGCTCTCCGGGCACCAGTTGAAGTAAAACTGCCCTAACAGGACCCCAGAGGTTCAGCACATCTTTTATTCTAACCTCACACTGGGACTTATGATCATACTGCCATGAGCAGATCAAAGCTTTTCTCTTCAGCTCAGATGCCAGATAGAAAAACAAAAGACCAGGAGAAAAAAATATATTTTCCACCGTATCCATCGCACCGCCTTATAAGTCGCATCAGTCCAAATATGTCTAAAAAAAGTGGAAAAATCCATAAATAAGTCGATTTGTCGTATACATTGCATCTATTATGCGTCACCGCTGTCGCGTTGCGTTTGTTATGCGTCACTGCTGACAACCCGGAAATGTGGGCTAGTGTTGTGCCAAAAATCGATTGGCTGCCAAATGGCGGCTGCGGGAGCGTGCACGGGAAGACTTTAACAAGAAATTAACAAGATTAATACTAAAAAACAATTATTTGTTTGCTCGACATTATAGCAAAGGTGTGTCTTAGTCCAACTTTCCCTTAATAAATGCACTTTGACGGTCAAATCAGCTGCATTTTCAAAAGCAGATATGCAGACACATCATGCAGAGGGCGACTTGCTGTCCATTTCTTCGAAATTTAACAAGCTAAACACTTAAAAACAATTATTCGTTTGCGCGACTTTATAGTAAAGGTGTGCCGCAGTTGAACTTTTAATTAATAAATTCATTTCAAATCAGCTGCATTTCGCCGGGGCGGCACAGAGAAATAAAGCTGATTTGGTTGCTCCAGGCAGAAGATGGTAGCAGTCTACGGCAAGCCGATTGTGTCATTAATAGCCATGTTTACCTATTACATGACACAAGGGCATGCCATACCACTTGATTGCCATCTAGCGGCTGAAAATGGTAGTGTTCAATATTTTCAGTCAAAATGAATGAAAATGGTCATATCTCAGTCAAAAATTGGTTTATAAATACGGGAAAAATTTTATAAACAAGTCGTTTCAGTGTATAAGTCGCAGGGCATGCAAATTATGCAAAAGAACTGACTTATAGGCTAGAAAATACGGTACACACTTCTAATTTCTATAGATTTGCCAAATTTAGAAGTGTAACGATAAATAAACTCAATTCCGAGTCATTTACAGGCTCGTCTGTGATTATGACTCAAAGCTACAGAACGTGAATCTTCTTGAATTTACATGACGGTGTCAAGTAAATCTAATCAATAACACCTCGGTAAAAAAAATTGCTCTGCTCGACAGAAATAATTCGACCCGATATCCGTGCGCAACACAAACAGTTCATTTTGCTGCAAGCTCTCCCCAGACAACAGTTTGATGAGTCAAAAGGCTGTTTCATATTGAACAAAGTCATGTCAATACAAACTAAATTGACTTGGTGAAGAAGAGGCCGATGAGTGAAAATTATTCGCTCCAGTGCTCGCTTTCAGGAGTCACCCATTTGCCTACATTTGACCTGATAGCCAGACTATTATCCCAATTGGAAGTAGCTGGAGAATGGCTGATTTGACCAGCCGCCTGTGAATGTTAGAAGGCTGAGAAACATTAAATACGGTAATCCCTTTGTTTTAATCTGCACCCTAGTACTCCTGACCCCAGCAGAGAAGTCTTCAGTCTTCCCCTGGGTCCCACTGGCCAATACTTTACTTTACATATCTCTGCTGAGCCTCAAAGACCAGGATGAATCAAGCTTTAATCATTGCTGTAATTACACATAATTTATCTTCTCTGCCATCGTGTAACATTGCTTAATGAGGGATGGTGCTCCACAATTTATTATTTAAAGGCACATCAGAGCTGACTCAAACATAATACCAAAAATACAAATGTTACAATTTTTATATATATTTTTAATACATTTTAAT